TTTTTTTATTTTTTTTGCTTGAGAATGGATTATTCACTCCATGCAGGGGCTGCTTCAGTGCATTATGTGAGAAAGCAGTGTTCTTTATAAAAGAAGTGTTGATTTAAAAAAAAAAAAAAGATACAGAACTCAAACTTGCGTGAAACTTTTACTTTCGCTTTGCAATATACATCTAGTCAGGGAAGGAAACCAAGAAAGAAATTTATGCCCAGAGCATCTCCCAGTGGTCACCACACAAAACACAAGGGAAAAAAAAAACGTACATGACACACTGCTTAATAGTTTAACAGCTTTTAACAAAATGATACAAAAATAAAAATATAGGCCTACACAAATCCAACAGAAATTTAATTCTGGTAAGAGTGCTTTCCAACAAGAAGCACTTCAGAAATAGTTGAAATTGCATTAATCGGGACTCATGGGATCTTATAAAAATAATCAAAATTGTAAACTAAATCCAACCCTGAATATTTTATATAATTTCAAAATGAGTGTGTGAACCCGCAATGTCATGCCCAAACGTATAATGCATATAACGTTATTGTATCACCTTAGAAAAGTTAATTTATATTATCATAATTTATTTTCCATAGTGTCTTCATTTACTGACGAACGTTTAGGGAAACACATATTAATGATTAGGTACAATTTAAGATATAACTTAAGAACGACGTAGCATTAAGGTTCCATGAAACACATCCCATACCTTTAATATGTTTGAATTCCTTATTCACCGTCTTCACTGTATCTCAAGATCACAGGAGGACAATTCATATTCAAATTAACTTCTCATTTGGCAATGTGATTGTCACAAGAAGGTCAGGGACACAAGTAGGCAGGAATTAATTGCGGTGTATCTTTATTAATAATGACACAAATAATCCAAGGAACAAAGAATATTGCAGGAGAAAAAGTGTGAAGTACCAACAACACAAGACAAAGAACTGAACAAAAAGAGCACAAGATATACACATACTAATGAGAACAAAACTAGAAACAGGTGTGCAACGTAATCAGTGACTATGGAAACAAATGAATGGCGGGAACATTGGAAACATGAACAAAACATAAGAAAACCAGGAAACACAACTGAAAGTCCATGATACAAAATAGAATTGTTACAGTGGTAACCTTTTTACTTGTCTAAATGTAATTATTAAAGTGATAGTTCACACAAACATCAATAATCTGTCATAATTTACTCTCATGTCATTTCAAACATTCTGTGGAACACTAAATAAATTATTTGGAGGAATTTCTATTTGTCCAGGAATGATGTGTTCTTATGTTCTGCACTGTTTGTAAACTGCTGGTCTATGTATGTCAGACAGTTGTCTTTCTATTGTTGTCACTTATCAAGCGTAGTGTCAGTTCTGGCAGGTCATGTTAGTCAAGCTCGCATCAGCTGACTCCCAGCTGATCCACGTCTACCTATTATGCGACACCTATCACAGCATCATATATAAGGTCCTTTAGTATTATCACCAGCTTTCGCGTTGCTCAATAGCTAATTTCCCACCTCCATCCCCGACTCCTCCTCTTGTCAGTTAGGATTCAGCCTTCTGATTCTCCTTGAATCAGACCAGTTTCTAAACTGTTACATTCAGTTATTGAACATTAATGATATCTGCAATACATTTATGTTGGTTCTGTTCTGTTTACACTGGGGGGTTATTGCTGCTCTCCCTGCTCTTATCAATGCTAGACTGCATGGATGCGCAGGGAGTTCTTGCCTAGAACAGAACCATACCACCAATTCAAACTGTATGCTAATTGTCAGTCACCTTTGACGATAGAGGTCCTGACAGAAATACTTTTTTAGCATCCTGAGAGACAGAAAATCAAAATTTACTTTTAATCCAGCAATATCTCCTAATTAAACAGTCTTTTAATATGGTGAACAGTTTTTTACTGGTTTAATAGAATTTACATTAAAATGATATTAAAATTCTTTGTCATTGTGGGCCAAACACATGCTATATTCTTTATGCTTCTTATATTTGATGAACTTGGTGCAACCAACAGACAACCCCCCCAAAAAAAAACAACAACAACAACGAAAAAAAAAATCTGTTACTGAAGTACCTTATTGCTGTTTTACATGGCCTTAGAAGAATGAAAAACCAAAACATGAGCAATTGACATAATTGTGATTTCATTAATCAAATGTCTAATTGATTTGTAATTTAAAACAGTTGCAAAAAAGTAATATATATATTCAATTAATTGTAATGAAAAATTATTAGATTTTAATAAAAAATAACTAAAAATAATGAAAACAGACTGTAAATAAATAAATAAATAAAAGAAAGAAAGAAAGAAAGAAAAAGCTCTGTTATCTCTTCCAAGTCTCTTTGGTTTGATTTGTCTTTGTACTGGGGAACAGTGACACTCCTTCTACATGATTCTGCTTTGGAGCAGCCATATGAATTGGATATTGAAGGCAGTGATGCTTTTGAAGGCGACATCCACCGCTTTGTTGACCACTTTTAATTAGGCAGCGCATTGTGCCATGAGCCACCCCACTCCAGTCTGGACTGAGTCAGTAATTGCTAAATTTACCGTAATCAATGTGAAGAAAGCAGAGCTTGATGGCCTGCCAGAAAACTCCTGTGTGACAAAAATAGGAGAAAGAAAAACATTCAGAAGACTTGGTTCTGAGTCCTTTTTCTCTAATCTACATTATTTTTACTGATGCATTAAAATGTACAATGCAACCCAAACAATCTCAGATTTCTAACTATAACTATAACTTTTGAAAATAGTCCATTTCTACTTGAAAGTCTAAAACCCCTTATTTTCAAAGCTCTTCTGTGTAAATTGCTGCTAACCTCACTGTTCTGGAACACAAGAAGATCTTCTGTTCTGTGCTTTTTCTACGTCCAATATTTTTTTTTCTCTTTTTAATATATATAATTCCTGAGGACAGACAGCTTCCTTCGGCCTCAGATGTAGGCCATCATTAATGAAGAATGTTGCTTTGTAAGAGTGAGTTATATACAGGACATAAGAAATAAATAGCGCTGTGGCTTTGCAAAGCAGAATTGAGGCCTGTGGGTTTGAGTGTTTCAGCTTTTCTTGGGTTTTAGCCATATCCTTACAGTATGCATACATCTGTCAGTTGTAGCACTTCTCTTTAATCTGTAGCTTTAATTTGATAATGCAGTTAAATATGTCATTCATTCAGGTGAAAATGCCACATCAGTGTTTTCAGGCTGACTTAAGTGCTAAACAATCATGTGACCATTTTGTCCCATTCTGTACAGCCCCCGTTTTTATTTATTGATTTTTTTAGTTTTTTCCAAAGTTCTTTTTTTCTTCTTCATTTGACAGTGCTTAGTCAACATTTGTCATATTCATAAAATTTACTCTGACTAAAATGCCATCTAATTTTAGTAAATAAAAAATAACAAATGACTCAGCCAGGTCAATCTCAGACACTGTTGACTATGATTGATTTTTTTTTTATCGTTTTTTCTAAAACATTATTAGTGCATATTGTTAATATCACGCTATGATGTATTTTCTAGAAGACTACAATCTGGCAGCTTATGCTGCATTGATTCACCATTTACTAGGGAGAACTGCAAGGGCTGAGGGTGTCATTTGGGACAAGGCCTACATGTAAATTACTCACAGCAAACTTAAGTCAGTCATTACATTCATAACATCAGCAAGCTCCACCTGTGCTCTGCCACAAAGTCTTGCCATCAGAAGCTTCTGTGTTCCTGTGGGAGAGTGATATCCAACATTGCTGCCAGCAGTTCCCTTTTTGCGATTGTCAAGTCGAAGTCATATTCTTCTAGTGAAATTCCCCATTGACAAACTCGGATATGCTTGCGTTCTTAATTTTTTCCCCCCAGAAACTCTCTGAGGCCTTAATAAAGCAATGCTTTTGTTTTGAAATTATTCACAAACACAGTGGAAAAAAGCCGCCCAAATCCTCAGAGCTGCTACTGGAATCCAAGCACCTGCCTCCCCATAATCCACTCTGCTAAGTAGCACTCTAAATCATTTCCCTAATAATCTCTGTGTCTTTTTCGCTGGATTAATTTTGAGTGAATAGTCTCTGTCATTTCCAATTTGCTTACCTGAAGCATTTCCATGGCAAAGACAAAGCACTAAAAGACATGTAGACATATTCTGCATGTATGTCAGAAGCATGGCATCTCTGAGCTTTCATCAAAACCATTCGTTCTAGTGCATCCCCAGTGCATTAGCACGCGCCGCCAGTGAAAATAGCTGTTATCAGGGGTCTATCTGTGAGAATGGGTAAATTGTAGATCAAATGGGGCCTCTTAGACCTTCTAGAGCTCCACTTTTTACATCCTGTAAATGCCTATTGCGCAAATAGAAGAGGCGTCAGTACAACAGAGAAGCACATTGCTGCACTTAAACAAGCTCTGTCTACTGCACACCTCTTACCGCTCTACATGATCATTTTAAGATGCTTTTTCACTCCTAAATTAGAAGAATCCACAAGGAAAAATGTGACATGCTTGTCCTGGCATGATGGAATTGAAGGTTGGCACCAATTCTGCTCTCCCGAGTTTGAAAAATCCTAGATTGACGTCCAACCAGGAAGGCAAATATGCACCGTGCGCATGCGATTACTCAAAAGATTAAGGACAACACAGACCCACACGTAAACTATGTTTTTTCGTGCAGCTGATCAAATCTAAAGGAGAATTTTGCCTTTGGCTGAAATGTTCTGTATAATGTTTAAGGATCAGATTGGAAAGCTTTCTGGTTATTAAGTTGCTGGCTACACTGATTTCAGCCAATGTGTGTTCTAACAACAGCTATGATTGAAGTTTTAATCAGTGCATTATAGGACAATTTAGGCATGAACAAGGTACCTCGGGGAGTTCTTGGAGATGTTTCAAATTGAAGTTAAATTACCTCTTATAATAATGTTTTTGCTGTTGTATTTTTATTTGAGTTCTAACTCGATTTATCTTGATAGTATATCTCACTTCAAAAAGTTTATTTCTCCACAGGGCTTCCCACTGGGCTTAAATGATGGCCACATTTATACCTGGACAGACGGTTTGAGAAGAAGAGACTGGCACGACAACGAGAGCATCAGGAAAGACAGCCAACGTGTTGGTACGTGCACTAAATCCACTGAATAGTTCAGAATAGGCCTTTTCTTTCTTGTAATTGATACTTGTTCCTCTCAAAGCATATGAAAGCCTCACATTATCCCAGCATAAAGGACATCAACCAGACCAAAGAGGAATGATTTGATGATGATGACGTTTTCTTTATGGCTTTCATTTAGGGTAGGACATTATTTTAGAATCCCTGCCAAGCTGTCCCTGTAAATCAACTGGTTGCCCCTGTGGCTAAAGAGACTTTATTGATCCATCTGAATTTACGGCTGGTTAATAATGTAAGGGTGTCTTTTTGCGGTGTTAAATTTTAGCTGCATTAGGTCCTCGGCAGTTAAGGATATAAATGGCTGTCGAGGTGCTTACATTGGTGTTTATTTTATTCAGTCATTTCCGTTTTCAAGGATGACCCAAGGTACTCGACAGGATGTGGTTTTTGGCCAAGCACAAATTGCCGAAATCTTTGACTTGTTTACAATTTAAATTATACATCAGACAATTGCTGGCATGGATAGTAGGTATCGTGCCAGCAATAATGTATTTATTATTTACGTTTATTATATAACGTTTCCATTTGTTCTTCACATTTTACAACGGACTGTTTTGTGAAACATGCTGCAGATTTTTCACAGCATCTTTTATTGAAAGATATGGCAATGCCAAGCATCTTGTCCTTGGAGGCAATGCAAGTAAGAACATTATTTTTTAACCTTACTCTGTTAAGACACCAAGCGTATCAATGTTTGAGTGTTGCTAATAAAATCAGTACATACCCACAGCGTACTGTACATGCCGCATCTTTTGTAACGCAACAATAATATTGGTACTTTTAAAACAATCTACGGAAAACTATATATCAAAAGCAATGACTGCACTGAAACAGATTGTTGCGTTTCAGTTTCTTCTGGCTTGGGATCTGATTCAGGCTCAAACATATAGATCTCTATCAAAACACATGACATGCTGTAAAGTAGGGTAGCGATACTATGCAATGAAGTTAGATAATCACAGTATTTTTCAAGTGGTAACCCCCTTTCATTTCTATGTTTTTCACAGAGATGATAAAAAATAAACATTTTTACAAATATTGAATTTTTTGATGCAAAAACATAATATAAAACTGCATTTCATGACCCCTTTAATATAAATGTTAGTGCTAGTAGCTTTAGTAGCTCTTCACGTTCCACCTTTATTTTCTAAATGTCTCTTCAGGGCCTTTCTTTTTGTATGAATGCATTTTGATATTGCAGTGCTTTTACATTATAAATCATTTCTAACTTCAGATACTTGAAAATACTCTTAAATCCCAGATGCTAAATGCAAGTGCTTAGGATAGCAAATAATTGTGTGCTGCAGATAACTGTATGAAAGCAGGTACTCAGAAAGAGGCTTGTTTTGTAGCTCTTTGGAATAATGAAAAAAGAAGTCACTGTATTAGGAAGGGAGATTTGTCAGATTAGAGGGAGGATGGCTTTTCTGGCGCCTGCAGGCAGGACCACGTCCTTCTGCATATGGCCCACTCGGCCCAACTGTTCTGTGTTGACTCGTCACGTTGGAGCATGCTGCATTATTCTATCAGAGGGTTTTCAGAGCACACCATCTGTTGGTGACAAATCTTATGATAGCAGCTTTCATTAAAAAAAACACCCACAATTTTTTCATGAATCTAGTTCATTGGAGATGGTAGAATATGAATGCCAGGGAGGAGTAATATATCTTCCTAGATTAAAGCATAATAAGGGCTGTTTATTATTATTATTATTATTATTATTATTAATTTTAATTAATTAATTTTAATCATACACATTTTTTTAAACATACACATAAAGGCCTTATGTGTGTGTGTGTGTGTGTGTATGTGTTTGTGTGTGTGTGTGTGTGTGAGAGACCCTGGACCACAAAACCAGTCATAAGGGTAAATTTTTCGAAATTGAGATTTA